AGTTTTCAGTTATCACAGAAGAACTCACTGAAAAAAACCCTCTCCCTTCAAAAGCCACAGGCATTTTCATTAAGACGAGCTTTACAAGTACAAAAGGGATACACTATGCAAGGAATTTAAAAAAAAAGTCTTTTCCAAACAGCATTCTTGTCCCAAAACAATCAAATTGCGGTTGATGGTAAAAACAGCAGTGTCAAATTCAGTAAGCTATGACAGTACAACATGTCAAAATTGTCCAATAGCAATTATCTTGTCCAAGATAAAAATTACCACGTCTGGAAGGATTTCCATAGTTAACTTTGTCCTGGGGTTTATGACACAGCTATAAAAAAATTAATTGAACTGAAAACGTGCACAAGCTCAAAGAATTATGTGGATTCTCTTAAAAAAACAAACAAACAAAACAGTCAAGATGTTTCTTACAGCAATTTTTGTCTCATACATCTGCATTAAATGTGTAGTTCATACCACAGTTCATTACTGCAGGCAGCACCACTGAGCAGGCAGGAAATATTTTAGACTTCAAGGCACTTTGAGGCACTTCTGCACACTGCAGCTGATAAAGAGAACTCAGCAACTGGGATGCTCAGGAGAAGGCAGGTGCACAGAAAGGCTGGCTCGCCCCTTACCGTTATCCTACTGTTGTCCCAATGCCACAGGACCTTAAAACCAAGGCTGCCCAGCTATGCTCAGACCCACAAAATATCTCATACCACACCATGGGATGGAATTAGAAGGGCTGACTAGGCAGAACACCAGCAAGGACAACGTTTGAAAGCCTGCAGCAGAGCACCTCAGGCAGGTCCAGCTGCTGGCTGAAATAATATTGTCCTACCCCTCCACCACTGACCAAGTGCTCCCATCACTGCAGCAGCCCTGCTCTCTGCCCCAGTGCACGTCAAATCCCACATGGAACAAATAAAGCTACACATTGTGGCAGCAGAGCATTTGCACACTTTTTTACTATCTTCCAGTATGAATTAATAGCCATAAAACTTCTGTTGCAACAATTAACTATTGTCCCTGAAGCATTGCAATTTCAAGATATCCCAATCAACACATAATAACTCTCCCTTCCTCATCTTCTATACACACAGCTGTCAGGGCTTTCATTTTTTTCAAGAAGGAATTACCAAGCTGTATGACTCGTTCTGTGCATATATATACATCTAATTATAACAAGATTTTAGCCTGACCCGTCTCCTAGAAATTCAGATAAACCTGTTTAACAGAGTTCTACAAATAATTTTAAGATCTGCAAGAAGGTATTAAGTGGCTTTTATATGCTAGACTGTAAGCTACGGTATCAGCTTTGGCATGGGCCTATAAAACCTGCAACACACACATAAATTTGTTTGTCTCTCATCCATTTTGCTCAAGCAGCTCAAGCAGCCATTCAATGGTAAATGTGTATGGGATAAGATCCTACACGATTCCTACTGAGCCGTGGCTGCTCCACACTGGCTCCCAGCTCCGTGTCCCTGAGCTCTGCTGACCTCCTGGCAGCAGCTCCAATACTGTCTCTGAATGCTCAGCAGCACCTCATGCTGACACCAGAGCTCTACTACTATCCAAGTTTCTCCAAGACTGAGGATGCTGCTCTGTGCCAGGAAATTAAGAAATGGAAGTGAAGAGAGAGTTGTCAGATTAGGAAGGTGGCTGGAAAGCACAGAGAAGCTTGAGGGAGAGGCTGAAATTAGTTTGGAGAGGCATGTGAGTACAGCAGGAAGCCCTGCAGATTCCTGTAGCTACAGAAACAAACCACCAGCTTCAGATTAGAGCTGAATGCTGAGAAACGAATACCCAGCTTCTGGTTTTACAGAAAACAAGCACAGCAAATCTGTGCCCATGAGCTCAACGTTACTGAGGCAGTCTAATGCCTGCCAGTTCATCTGAGTGATACACTTATTAAAGCATTTACTTTGCTTTCCTTAAATGTTTCTTAACTTAGTGCTTGTAGGGATTGAGGTCCTCGCCAGCCTACACTGTTCCATCAATTTAAGGATATTGAGCTACTTCAGAAGAGGCATATGCCATAGCTTCTGGCTTGAGAACTTAAATAAAAAATTGGATTATCAAAACTGATAAGACTGTGGATTCAGAACAAGGTCAAAGTCCTAGTGAAGTCTATAATTAAACAATTCCATTCTTATTTTGAAAAAAACAAACCAAAACAAACAGAAACTGCCTCTTGCTCAAGTTTCAAAAACAAAAGCCACTTGAGGAAAATTAAAACAACACAAAATGCTGCCAAAAGGGAAAATCCCAAGGCATACATAAGATCAACACCCTCCTCAAGCAAAAAACCTGCTCTGCATGATCCTCTCCTGTGTCTCATGCAAAAAAAACTCTTAACACTTTCAACTCTGCCTTCCAATAACAAAGTGCTGTATATTACTAATGTAGGCCCTTAACAGGTTTACAAAACCCTCAAGGCTCTTCTAAAACATTTGTATTTGTTGCCCTGCCTGTTAATAGCACAGGAGGGCATTATGCACAAGTCCTCTAAACGCAGTCACTGAACATTTGCCACAAGTTCTCAACTCCTTCTGTTAAATGAACATGATTTCCCATCGTGCCCTCAGACATAAGCTCTAAGTGATGCTGTATCCCTTTTACACAGGCATATCATCAACTGTACTCTCAAAACAGAAGGAGGGATAATTAAGCTCCTTACAGAACAGGTCCAGCACAGGCAGTGTAAGAGGATTCTCCCTGCAGTGACTCAGACACCTATTGACCAATGGGCCTCTGAATCAACAGTTTCATCTCCAGAGAGGTGAAACCCTGGCAGAAGTTCTGAGCGCTTGTAGTGCCAGGCCAGTATCAATTATGCTGAGCACTGGGAGCCAGGAGACCACCCTTCTGGACCACAGGCTGAAAAAAGCCACGAGACAGTGGCTGATTTGTTTATCCTCCTGGGCTATATTTGAATCGGTGATTCACCACGTCCGTCTTACTAATAACTCCTTCAGCTCATCATTTCAGCCCCCTTCTCCAACCTCCAGAAGTCTTCAGAACTCAGCTATTACTCTACACACACTTCAAGATGAAAAATGCCACTAATGCTGCCAGAAAGGACAACTAATTCCACCACTTGGAACATATACGGCTTTTAACTTTTAAAAACTCTGTAAAACCAAAGAACAACTACTGCACTGGGTAAAATTGTGTGTGTCGTCCCTACAACATCAAATTTGGTCATGGATTTTCATATTGAAGGCATTAAATCCCGTCTTGGTCCACAGAAGAAAAGCAGTGTTCACTAATTATACTTTTATAACATGTCACTAAAATTCTTCTGTTTCTCAAAACGTTGCAGCAACCTTCTTCAGTCTAAAACTTTTCCTCTTTGGTCTCAAGATGTTTCTGAAATCTCTTCTGTTATTCTGAATTAGAACTATAAAAAGTTATTCTTTGAAGTCTTTCTTAGATTTATTTGCTTGCCAAGAACTCAAAAATAGCTGAGCAAAGCAAGCAGCTACAAAGTTAGCTCTCCATGAGGAAGCATCTGTACTGTTTTCATTTTCTTGGCTTTTGGGTGGGGAGGGACATTTAAATGGCAAGCAGCTGCTGTGAAGGAGGGGAAAAAAACAAACAAACAAAAAAACCACATTGAGGAAAATCTTCCAAGTTTTAGTATTTACAAAGTGTTACGAAGCTCGATCTCTTCTGGGATACGTTTAGTGAGTGAAAGGACACAAAACCTCCCTGTTTTCATTTATCAGATGTCCAAAAGAAATCAGCAATAACGTCAGCAAAGTCTGCCAGAAGGCCTTGACCAGCCATCTTAGAAATGTTTCTTCTACTGAGCACAAGGTGTGTGTGGGGGGGAGGGAAATCAAAAAAAAACTGTCCCTCTCACATCAAAGTGCTCACACATACTGCACCTTGAAATTTCTGGAAGTGTCTTTACCTTTGCTCTCACACTAGAAATACAGACACTGTGAACTAGAGTGCATCACTCCAACAGCAGCTGGAACTAGAATTGCAGAACTGTCACCCCAGAAGGTGAAGAAATTCACTGCCCACATATGTGCATCTTTGCCTCAGAGTTGCATATGTAAGTTCCAGAAAGTGATGGTGACACATATCCTGCTAATTAGCATACAGCTATCCAGTCTCCTCATGTTACAGTAAGCAAGCACACCACACCAGGAACCTGCTTTAATTGCTAATTAATAGCACACTTGTCTTTGGGAGAGTGGGAAAGGGTTAATCTTTTAATTGAGCAGTTCTTACAAATCAGAAGCAAGCAAGCAATATTAACTTTACAAAACATGACTTTCCTTTCAATCTGTACTCAAACTAATACAAAAGGCAAAATATTTTACTGATTTTGACTCAAACAGGCAACACTATTCCTAACAAGAGAATACTACCTTTCTTATTTTTCCTGAGCAGTTTACAGAGGGATTAAACACACAACCCAGTAAAACTGGGTGGGAAGACTCACATGAACGGAAACTTCAGCTTCACATTTGATACCCAGATCTTGGCCAGGGTCCATGGGCAGTGGCATAATTCCCTTTAAGAGGACCCAGATTAAGCTGTAATCTTGATGTTATTCCAAATAAGAAAGTGGTAGGGGTTGAACACAATAATATCACCCAGCCGAAATGTCACTGACTCACCTGTGAAATGTACAGCTGGAGTATAAATAAGAGTTAAATACAATGCAATGTCACTGAAACAAATAATACTTAGGGGCAGCTCAGTGGTAATGCACGTCTCTCATTTCGAACATTGTCAGTGAAATTTTATGTTCCTACTGTGATTTTTTTTTTTCCCATCTTAATAAGTGCTTCTGAGGAGAAAAGACATACAAGGGCTGTGAGCAAAGGGGAGTTCTGAGGCCTGATTCTGCAGCCTTCCCACAGCACAGTAACTACCAAGCGATTAACTCACCAGCCCCATAAAAGAAACACTCAACAGCAGTTGCAGAATCTGGCCTGAGAACTGTTTTCATATTCAGTACTTATATCATGAAATAGTCTTACCTCAGTAAGAGCGTGCAGCTGTCCTTTATGCACACAGACACCCATAAACCTACAAGAAACAAGAAAAGAAAAGTGGTTTGGGCTTTTTTTTTTCCCCCCTCTTTTTTTTCTCTCAAGAAACTAATATAATAAAAATTTCTGGAAACACCACAAAAGGAGGAAAAAGAAAAAATTCAGCCTCACAGACACTGCATACTTCACTGTTGATTACTTAAACATCTCAGCACAAAACAAAATCATGTGTCTACATTACAATACAATTTGAATTAGCAGTTCCAAGAGAGCAGGGGAGACAGCTCAAACTCAATATGGAAAGTCACTAATTTGAGTATAAGCACAGGCCAGCATATAATGATTTTTGCAGAAAGGAACAGTCTCAGAGTTCTGTTTTAAGGAAGTTTAAGCCAAGTAATCCACTATTGGTCTGCATAAACAGAAAATTACTTCCCTTTGCATTTTGCTGTTTAAGCATAGAGATGTTTCTTCCTATCCCATTCCTAACCACTCAGGATTATGAGGGCACATACAGGCTGTACACTTCCCTGCCCCAACCCCCTCTTTCCAGCACTTGGATGGAAGCAAGTTTTGATAGTATCCAGTATACACACATTCCACAAGTGTTCCCTGCACTGCACAAGGTCCAGACTCCTGCTGTCAATAGTCATGACTGTCACCCTTGATTTTTCTGGAAAGCAACAGAATGTGCCATCTATTTAACGTATGAGAAACAACTGAAAGCTCATTTTTACCACCATCCAAGCTGAACTTAAAAATGACAAAATGCAAACTAATACTAACAGTAAACATCCCCCATGAGAAAGTTCAGTAATGCTCAAACCGTATAAACTTCAGAGCGTTCCCTGCAGACTTCAAGTGTCAGTTCTTCCCAGATTAACTAATTCTCAGTTTTACCATTCAGGTTTTGGTCTCAGTGAGCAAAAACAAATTGTCATTTCCACTTTGCAAGCAAGGGGTAGAAATGCATCATTCTATTAAATGTGATGGGCATCTCACGGGGAACAATTTAAAGGAAAAGGACCTTTTATATCCTGAAACACTTCCGAATTTAAAAACAAAAATGATGCAAGACACATGTAGTGCTAGTTCAGCTAAGCTGCTTTTGAAGAAATGAATGATCCTCAATGTTCTCCTGTCTAACAGCTGACTGGTAAATTACAAGCAGCTGAAGAAAAATTATATAGGCAAGATCCTTTGCATAAGCTGAGCTGTGGAAATCTGTTTTTATAACCAAAGAAGCAGCACAACTTGTACCAGAACATCTACTGCCTGCTCTCATCTCAAACAATATTCCCTGAATATGGAAATTTTAATTTGAGAGGCAGTGAAAAACCAATTCCTCTTGCTTCATGTAGAACAACAAGCCATGACCAGGTATTCAGGGGAAAGAGAAGAAGCTTCCTTTAGATACATCATCTACTCAAAATATTGCTATTTCTGAGTTCCCCTTCATACAGCCATGGCATATGAACCACTTTGTAAACAAGTTGACAAATTAATCCTCCTGAGGCTATGAAACCCAGAGCAGAAATCTGTTTCTTAGTGCATTCTGAAAGTCTCCAGAGCTATCAGGCATGGTGTTAATGGCTATATTCTCAAGCAAAAATGGGAAAAAAAAAACAATTCAATATATGAATTCCACTATTAGACAACTTTTCAAAGTATTTTCTCTTCTATGAAACGCACTAATTACACAACATTAACCCTCTATGGTAATATTTTCATTTAACAAAAACTGAGGCTAAGTAATTAAAAATAATAATGTTTTCATCTATTTATCACCTCTTCCTTTGTAAAGGTGTATTACACTACTTTCAAATTAAGAATTAACTGTATTTGACATAATACTAAAATACAAACGCATCTAAGAATTTATCAACATTTTGAAAAAATTAGATTTCTTGTCTCATCTTTACCGAACAGGGAAGACATCACTGTCATTTAAAGACTGGCAGAACTTAACTTTTTCTGCCAACCTGTTTAGGTCCAGGGAAGTCTCAATGGAAACATATTCATTAGCTTTATGAACCTACTCTTAAGGCAGCAAAGACACACTAACTCGAGTAATCAAGAGCAGGAGTTTAAAAGTCTTAAACACCTGGGATTTCTACTAGGAATCAGATCTACATTTCTAACTTTAAATCAGAAATTAAAAACAAAGCTCCGTATCATGATCTCATGGAAAAAAAACTGGACAAAGATACCTTTATAAACCCCACATATTTAGAAGCTATTCCCCAGGAAAAGAGAAACCAGATACACTGATAAAGACAGAATTAATGAGTTTACAAGCAACATACTGAAGCCATTTAAACTTCGTGTCACAAATCTCAGTTTTCAGACTCTGGAAAACAGATCGATAGAACAGACCTGTAGTGACCCAAATTCCTGAAAAACTTCTGCTTAGCTGCTTTATCAAGCAATAATAAGCCACTTGGTTAAGCCAAGTACTGCTACAAAACATTGTTGGAAAGGATTTTCACTATAAGATAATACACCCGGCTGCTACCGGGAAATACAACTACCAAGCAAGATTTAACATCTGATTTCAATTTCTGAGATTGCCCCAGATGAGATTCCAAGTTCTGTGGAGAGGAAGCTGACATGCTGGTCCAGCACAGCTGAGATTATTCCTGTTGGCGAGACGCTCTGTCTCCTGAGCCAAAATGTGCTTGTAGGTGAACTTCAGCAGAATGTCTTGTCAGCCAAAGGTTACACTTCCTATAAGCATTTCTAGTTGGAAGACGCTTCAATGATCCAATCATCCACAAAGCAGGAGACCATTTGCAGACTTGAGGAAGTTCATTTTCAAGGCAGTGTATCTGGCCTTATCAGGAAGCTGAAGCGCTTCCAAAATCGTAACTAGTGGTTGGAAAAGTTTTCCAGAAGCTGCAAATACGAAGCATGTTACTTGAGTCCACCCTGCTAAATCCAGTGCAGCCACACTTCCACCACAAAATGCTTTCTAACAAATGTCAGCAATCTACAGATGTTGGGAGTCTCATTTTATAAATGAGGCAATTCCCCAATCAGTCTGGAACAGCCCTCCTCCTAAACAAGAGCAAGAGAAGGTAGTCTGGATATTTCTTAGTCCTTTACAGCTGAAACTACTTTCAGTTCAGTCAGATGGCAAGGAAGAAAATTCTGGACAGAAAAGGGGAAATCGTCTCCTCTGTCTGCAACCTTTGCCTTAATTTATCAAGTAAAACTCACATCCAGATTATACACCCTCTGTGGACACCCAGACACTGAACACATGCTTCCCATTAAAACAACTTCACTGGGACACGTTCCTGTTTTGTGCATAAACCTGGGGCAGCTACACCTCAACAAAATAAATTGATGCCCTCAGAAACTTACTGCTTGTATGAGAAAATTCAGCACTTTGATAACATTAAACATAAGAAACAAACCAAACACACCAATGCAAAAGTCTCTAATATGAGCTCAGTAACAAAGAGACAAAAGGTCAGAAGACACCCTCTTATTTCATCACACTGACTGTTGGAGAAGGAAGAGGGTAAGAATATTAAGTCTGCATTAATGTTTTAGGCACCGTGATAGATTAAAAATGTATTTTAAGTTTTCTACACTGGCATTTTGATTCTGGAGAGGAGTAAGGCATTTAATCTATCATTTTCTGTAACATACTACACACAACACATATAGCCTCTCTTCTGCTGCCTTGTACACTGCATTCCTGAAATAGTCCTTTTTGATAATCACATTACACAAAGAGAAGGAAAAGTAATCTTCTTTCCTGTTAAAGCACTTTTCAATATGACAAAGGATGTTAAAAGACAAAATCCATCCTTCTGGCTATTGTAACAAAAGTCCATCACAAGTAATTTCACAGAAAAGAAGGTTTGAAAGGAGAATACTGCACACAGAAAAACCTCTGGTATTGTGTTCCCAGGGTGCTAGATTTGTCTCAAAGGAGATGAAATAAAATTCTCCTTGAAAGAAGCTCATGGAATATGCACACACTGTGTGCCTATTTGTGTGCATGCAGGCACAAGGAGGTGGGTTTAATCAATGAGTCAATCTGCCTTCATGCTCACAGCCAAACATGCAGCAATACCTCCAAGAGCTCCCACGAGAGCACTTAAGACATGAGCTGAGGCTTTCTGTGCACAGAATGGTTTAACTGAAGTCCCCGAGGTACAGATCAAATAAAGAAATACTTTTTCAGGCAAACAGTCGTGATATTAAAGACTGAAATTCTATCTCAAAATTGAAGACACCCTAATTTAAGAGACAGCACAGGAGACAGGGAATCTTTGGTAGCACAGCACTTCACTTGTGAATATGAAAAAAAACCACACTTGCATGGTATTACCAAAATGAGAAGCTATCAGGTCTCCCAGGCTGCAGCCCAAAGGCTCCCAGCCCAGGGCAAAAGGACAGAGATTTCTTGAGTCCTTCACAGCCCTATTTTCTTACTTTGATTTGGGTAAAAACTCATGACTACAGCAGCACATCAGCACTCAGGGAAGCAGCAAAACAGTAAAACACATTTACAAGCACACACCAAACCTTTCATAACTCTGGTACCAGATCTGACCCAAGCCCTGAACAGCACTGCTCTTTAAATAGGACATAAGCTAATAAGGAAGTGAAGAAATGCTCCAAACCTCTGCTCTCCCTACCCCCAGCAATTACAGTCTTGCCATGTATCACCCAACCTGTACTGAAGTGGTTCGAGTAAACATCCCATGGGACAAACCAGAAGTCCAGCTCACTTTTTCATGCATCCCCTCCCCATCTGTTTTGAGGGAAGAAGATGTGATAAGACCAGCACATCCCACACCCAAAGCAGGGAGAAGTGGAGATCAGAGGCAGAAAAGCATTTTAGTTCTCCATGTTTAGCTTGTATGCAGGAGTGAGGTGAAGACAGGAGAAGAAGTTGATGGTAGAAACAGAATAAAGCATGAACACCCTTTGTCTGCTTCTTCCCTGTCCACTCCTGAAGTGTCCCTAAGCTGGTCCCTGGGGAAAAACCAAAAAAATAAGCAGCTCTTTCATACACAGTTTGCTAAGAACACCAGACAGTGACTGAACAAAAAGTTACTCCATTATAGTTATCACATATCCTGCTTCTGGAATCATATCTGATAGTTGAAATGGGAAACAAGAGAAAGGGAGACAAACAAAACTCCTAAATCTCCTTAGTTTTTACCATCATGGCTGTGTAGCTGCAAAAGCTGGACTCATCTATTGTAAAATATCCTTAACAGACTGACAAAGAGGCTCCATTTTTGCCAAAATAAACCCTCTAAGAGAGGGCAGTTTCTCATTTTCTTGATGGAAAATACATTAAAAATTTATATATACACATATATTTGACCACTGGAATCTTTATGATCCTACCATGGGGACGGTATACTTACTGGGGACTTAGTAAGTGAAAACTAACTCTTCACTTACATCAGTCTTCTGATCAAGATGGATCTACATAGCTGGCCAGGAGCAGAATTCAAGTGCAGAAATAGTGAAATGAGTGGGGAGATTTAAAGTCAGCCTTTCATGCCATGCATAAGAAGGCATGTTGCTTTCAAAGCCTAAATACTCAGATTGGCACTTCACCAAATATTAGAAGCAGAACAACTGAAACACCTTAACCCAACTCCATCTCCTCAAGCAGTACAAAAGTGTCACGAAGGTAAAAACATGGACCTGCCTCCAGGTGATCTCTACTGAGCTAAGTCAGCAACTACTGACAAACACACTCCAGAACAGTGATCACAGTCTGGATCAAAAACCTCAAAAGGCATCTGGAACTCCAAAAAGGAAGTGATATGGGCAGCACAGAAGCAAAAGCAGGTTTAAATAGTCAGCAGTATTTATTATTCACATCAGTGCAATCAATGGGAAAAACACCAAATCTTTGCAGTAACATCACTGACAGCTTGTAAAATGTTGCTATACATTTTAGAGCACTGACAAAGGGATGAGTAAAGGATAATAATGAACCTCTCCTCCATATCACTTAGTTCATATAAACTACAAAAGTTATAGGACAAAAACATTGACTGAATTACCAATTTTAGGTACCAAAGCATCAGGACACATTCAAAAATACAACCACACACTCAGCTTAAGGAATATTTTAGTACACTAAAATAAATGCATCATTGCTAAACCTGACATTCACTTTCTAAGAGTGTGCAGTGAATTTAAACTGCACATGTTGAAGTGGGTTGAGAGAAGAAATTTGGAGGCTGTAAAGCCAGTATCTGACCAGCTTCATAATTTTACAAGCCATTTGATATCAGAGCACCTCACAGCCCTTACCCACTACAATCAAGCACTGCACAACATGATCTCAACATTTCAGCCTAAGAACCCGCTCATATCCTTACTGTCTAAAAACAGATCAGCACTAAGGAAAGTGGATTTTTTTTTACAGCATAAATTAACAGTAGGTAGTCCCAGAGCTTACAGGATATGAAGAAGTTTAGAGATGTATATTACACAAAAAGCAGAGTACACCTTCAAGGCATGTGGAAGAGATTCAGTGACTAATCAATAGAGAAGTAAATTTGATGCTAGTGACAAAACACCTTGTTCAGTAACATGGAGGAAGAACTCCAAAGGACAGAAATTAAGTGAAGAAAATAATATTTATCAGCAAGCTAAAGTAGCTCATAGCCCCTGGAGAAGTTATACATTAGAACTTCTTGGAAGAGGATGTTCCCTTTAAATACTAATACAAGCTTAAAATTTCCAAAAATAATCCCAGAAAACGTTTCAGTGGGAACATTGTTGCTGTAGAACATTTTCCTAGAGGCCTCTCAGCAATACAACTCCAGCTGCTCATCTTTGACAATGCAATGTTGTCAAACCAGCAATACAACCTCTCACTGCTTAGTACTATAAGGGCAAATTTTTCAGTAAAAGAATAAACTAAAATTAAACACTCTTTTCCTATTTGCATTTTCTGTAGCAATGTCTTTGCTCCCTGCAGCAAGGAGACTCACCTAACAGATAAGAAAAAGGCAGTGTTTTTTACCAGAGAACCAACTCTCTCAGAAGAAGCCTCAAATCAAGCAACTAATAAATCAAATGCAGTTTTTCCTTCAAAAAAACTTCTTCTATTTCTATGCAAAGATAAACTGTTCCTATTTAAGTAATTTATTTCTGATGTATTCACTCATAACTGCCTAGTTGAGCACACAGAGAGAAAGATTTCTCTATCAATCTTGGGTAATAACTGGGAGACCAAATGAAATTCCTTTTCTCCTCCAGGCATAAATCAATACATTATTGTTCTTCCTTCAGGACCATCTGTGCAACACCCCTGACTTCAAATTATTCACAGGCTCTAAGGCCAGAGGGGACCAGTATATCAGAGATATGATCTCTTAGACAACATAAAACATTTAAATTTCAGCAATTACTCAGGACTGAGCACAATAACTTTTGTTTTCAGCAACACCTCAGTAATTCCATTTAAGGGGGAGCAAAGTTACAGTAAGGTGCAACTGAACTTTTTGCCTGTCAAACTATTCCCTTCCTACTTTCCCTCACCCCAACCCAAATCAAATTCTTCATTTTGAACAGAGCTGTAGAGATAGATTTTTTTAAAAATAAGAACCAATTAACAACCCTGAAATCTAAAAAGCCAGATAGATAATAAAATTTAAATTTTAAAAAATGGGAGAACTAAAAAAAAAAAACCAAAAAAACCCAACCAAACAGAAGGAGGAATTGCTGGGAACAGAGCAGAGAAAATAGACAAAGAATTGTAATTAAGGACAGATTACTACAATACTTGAGTAAATATATTGTAATAAAACCAATACAGTTTACTATGAGTAAAAATTCTCTAAGTTCACAGGTTTTTGAGGTTTTAAGAAAAAAAACAGAAAACAGACATGAACTAATGGAATGCTCCCTACAGATATTTAAAATGCTTCCAATATGTGTCCTCATAAATACTGAAGGAAATACTATTGTTACACATCAGTTGATGAAGGATTTTAAGGACCACAAAAGTTGTTTATAAAGGATTTTAGGAATCAGCACTATGCCTGTACTATTTAACAGACAGGTGAAAAAGAGGGAATTAAGTGAAAAAGTTCACTGCATCTCCAAAGCTTTTCAGAAAGAGATGTACTGCCTGAGATCAAAACTGGATCCCAGCTGGGCAACAGCAGTTTGGGAGAACTGGTTATTTGGTGCACTGACATCACATCTTTACATTTCATAATGTTATGGCTTCAGCTAATTATGTTAATTGCTTGTCACAGCATCATAGAAGAGTAACCAAGACTAAAAAGATTCAAGAAATTACAAGATACACATTGAAACATTTTGGATTTGCATGCAGAAATCTATTGCAAAGCAAGAACTACCTTTTTCCTTTCAGAAGCAGATAAATCAGATTAGTTCAACTCTAGCTTCTTTTCTTCTGTCCCTCTTACACCACCTTGCAATACTACAATAAGAAAATGCTAAAAACTAGGAAGCAGACCTAAAAATAAGCAGCAGCTATGGCACTTTGCATTGCTGATCTGTAAGATTAGTAACCATAGGTTCTTTGAATGGTGTTAAATTTGCAATAATTTAAATTCACGGAAAGAAGCCAAATTTCCCTCTTCATATCACTTTACTGATTCATTTGAAATTTAAAATGTGAACACTTCTTTTTTCCTCTGACATATGTTACTCATCGCTGGTAAACTCCAGATACCAAAATCACGTCCGTGGGATGTTTTGGGGTTTTTTTTCCTCTCGAGTCTTTTCTTCCTCCTCCCCTTCTTTTATTAAATTAGCAACTGATCCTAACACATTCACAAAAGATATAGTATAACAAAAAAAAAAGAAAAAAAGAAAATAGGACAGCCTTACTAAAGACAACTTATCTCTATATAATTCAGAAAAAAGCCAGTGTACCTCAAGATGTTTGGATGTGAGAGTCTATTCATAAGTTGAACCTCTTTCAGCATGTTTGCTCTGTTGCTGTTCAGTGTGTTCATCTTCAAAGCCATTACCTGGTCTGAAGTTCTGTGCCTTACCTATAGGACAGAAGCAAAAAATGGTGAGGATGTGAAATGCAAGGCTGAAAACCCAGTGATGTTGTAGTACAATGTAGAGATCTTTCATGACGAATGATGATCTAGACTCCAATTTCTGCAGGTTTTATCACAGACATGACTTTCCCTAAGCACGCTACACAAATAGGAAAAGGCATTTTGCTCTTCTCTTGCAACTCACAATGACAGAAAGCTTGAGAAGTTGAAAAAAATTATCAGCTTCTTAGTACAAATGAAGGAAACCACTTATGTGTCCACAGAGAAAAAGTTTCTTCTCCAAGATCTACGAAACTCACCTTCATTCCACCCATATCCCTCTTTTTTACCCCCTGCAGTGGTTGCTGTCATTGTTCACAGAAGGGGTTATGAGAGGAACAGTTGGTTATGGCTACAGGGCAGATTGTGGAGGTATTCTAAATTTACTTCTGAACCAAGACTACGAACCAGCTCACACACTGAGTGGACAGAAAGCGTTTGTGCCAACCCCCAACCCCTGGTGCAAAGCAGAGAGAGGTTCCTGGACACGGTATTGCCTCAACCAGGGTGTCAGTATTGGCTGCAGAGTGTTGGCATGAAAAGAGGATTTCTCCAGGAACTGCAGAGAACCAGCACCCAGTTCGGAGTCACCTTCCCCGGTGTGACTGTGGCCATTTTTAACTTGATACTCTCAAACCAGCCCATCTGTCAACACACCAATGTTATGTAGATGTGTGCTACTGTGAGAAAGGAGCTGTCACCATGATGTAAGGTTGCCAATCCTTTGAATTTCCCTGCAGTTGGGCATTCCCACACACATACTGGTAGTATTCATGGAAACTGTGTCACCATTTTCTCCCTACATTGGTACCTGCAGCTCATGCACAGAAAACACGCAGTTCCCAAAATACTGAACTACCCCCATAGCAAATTGATTCATGTTTATGGAGATTAGTTTAGGAAAGTCTGTCTTGCAAGAATTTAAGAGATTCACCAGCTTTCTAATTTAAAACTGAAATTTACTTTATGATGTAGGTACACACAAACTACCTATGTTTTAAACAACTGCAGCCTGCCTGCTTTTTTTCCAGAAGACTCCGCACATCTTTTCCAGTAAGCTGTGATATGTTAATTGCTGTTTATTTAATTAATTAAATTGTTAATTAATTATGTTAATTACAGAAGGAACAGCTGAACTCATGATAAGCAGGTGCAAGAAAAAAGTAGGGTATGGTTTCAGGCTCCCTGGTAGGTCTGTGGCAGCAAGGGATACCCCTCTTTTCAAGTTTTATTTGCACACCATACCTGCAAGAACAAGGGGCATATTTTAGCCAGACATTCTCATCTACACACAAAGCACATGAATTCAGCACAGGGATGCACTGGGAGGAGAGGGTGGCACGTTTCAGGTGTCTGCCTGTTTAAACGCTTCCAAGTTGCCCCTTCCCGTCCTAGTCTGAAGTATAGGGTAGCACTGGAAACATCCCAGATAAGTGTGGAAAACAACATCGAGGGGCCGAGGGAGTAGAAAAATAACCCTCGGATGCTTTTCCTCCTGCTTCCCCCCGCCTATGTAAATGAGCTCCTCAGATGCCTCACCTACAGTCACCCAGTAATCCCAGTGCAAGAAGGATCAGAGAAAGGGGGTGGAGGATATAGAAACCAGCACTGAAAGTAGAAACCAAACAGCAAGTTCATAAGCACGGGACTCCTCCTTTCTGTGGTAATATTGGCTTTAAAAGAAAACTGGTTGAACTACAGCTTTAGTGCATTATAACAAGATAATCTAGAATCCTTCTGCACACAACCTGTCTTGCCTGTTTGGCATGCTTATTGGTTTTAAGCAGGATGATTGCATGTTAAGTGGATGAGGTTTATTGTTACTTGCCAGGTTTCTTGTGTCTATTGTGTGCTTCCATGAATTTTTAATTTTACGCAGCTTTTGCATACCCAGCCAATTTGAATAAACAAGCTAAGCTGGACAGGTCAATGTCAATATATACAGACTTCTAAAACAAATTTTAGTTATACATTAGTTTTATTAGGAGTAATGCCTTGGGTGAGGGGAAAAAAAATTTAAAAAGCTTTGATAGTCTTAAGAAAGGAAGATTTGTTCCAACAATGTAAATTTAAAGGACTATGCTAAATTTAAAAAGGACTATGCTTTGAATCTATACACAGAAGTAGCTCAATCAACACCTGAGAGAAGGGCTAGGAATCTTGGGTGTTGTGGTAGAATAATTTGAGGTTTTCAGGGAATGGAAAAGGGTTAGGAATGTTGGGTGTTATGGTAGAGTAATTTGGGGTTTTCAGGGAATGGAAAAGGATTTGAAGAAACTTTAATCCTACAGGCAGAGAGAGGCTCTCAACAGAACTTACTCAGAATGAGCTTTCCACTGACACAGAAGCTTCAAGGTCTGCCAAAAGGGAATGAACAGAGGTAGAAGGTGAGCAAGAACTCTGATGGAGTGTGGTCTTGAACAGTATTTGCCTTCTCATTAACTCTGCCAGCTACCTCTTAATTTCCTGGCCATATCTATAATTCACTCAGTTCCATACCAAAATTTTCAGTTCTTTTGCCTCAACTCTGAGATAAAAGTAGAATCTATCACAGGATCTTTTTCCTTGTTCTGACTGCTCCTTTTAAGCTAAGGAAACCTCAGAAAAGAAGGTGGGTAACTTTTTGAGGCACTGTGTCCTACATGCTCCCTGGATTTTCAGGTCTGATATGCAAGAGGAAGTGGTCAGCAACTGCTGCTCAAAGGTCTGACTGCCCACAGTACTGACTCCACATACACAGAAAACTGAGCTGCCTTTGCAGAGACAAAATTTTTCATCCTCCTTTTTAGGCTATTCTGCTGTTCTATTGTCAGACCGAACGAGATTCTGTGGTGACATCTGAGCGGGGGTTCTTTTATTTGTTTTATAAAACCGTTTTCCCCATCCTTGGAAATAGCTCAGATTTCCAGCACATAGAGCAGCATATTCTGTCCATGTAGCTGTTCTCCAAATAGCAGCCAACACTGCACTATGCTTTGTTTCACTTAAAGGGCCACTGTAAGGTAACACTAGCAATTTTGTTTGAAGTTCCATATACTGCTCTGATGTTGGAGAATGTATTCCTGCCAAATCTGACAGGACAGCAAAATTCCTAATCAAATCAAAGCAGAGGTGGGAAAAAAAAAAAGGACTCTTCCTCTCTAGCTAGCTACCCTTTAAGCAAGGAGGAGGAAGCAGATCTGGAGGCGAAAGGGCATCTTTCTCCATAGGACAATAGTCAATATTATGAATAAAATCAAATATCCGTTTATATATTATGGAGCACAATGCTAATCACTTGGAATCACGGTAAGGCTAACAGTGTTCTCTCCCCTGAAGCACTGCTGGCAAACAGTATTTCTGTGGGAAGAACAGACTGACAGCAAGGAACTGACAGGTTCTGTCTTTCGGGTCTTGGTCAAACTCTCAATCCCTGATATAGAAAGCGCTGCCACTTACACAGCCCTCTGTGCCTCCCTACCCGTCAGTGACACCCTACACAAAATTTGTGTCTATTCTGGCATCCCTTGCCAAAACCCTGCCAAACTATTTCTTTTTAATCCTCCATCTCCTTTCAGGTCACCTCTGTGCAATGAAAGCATGGAAGTGATGTTTCAACCACCTGACCGCTCCAGAAGAAAAACTAGTAAATATTTTGGCAATACTGCTGATCCAATTTAACATTTGTTTACAAGGCACTTTGCCTCAGGCATATGCCTGTATACTCAACATAAACAGGGACTCACTGATGCAATTCAAACCTTTCACTGATGCAACTTGGAGATTGCTGCAAAGCTTTTAAAGCTGTTGACATTATTATTAATTAGGGCTCCTTGGATATCAGACCAAGTAACCTTTCAGCAACGTCTGGATCCTAGTGTCTCTGCTTAGAAACATTCTGACAATCCTACAGCTGCTTTGCACATGCTTCTGACTTCTCAGTCTGCTTACCTGTGTGTGTCTCTCCATCTCCAAGGTCACAGTAACCAGATATTGCCTCCCTGTTTTATTGCTGACAGGGAGATAAACTGTCCTTTTGCACTCTGATTCTTCTAGGATCAAAGTACTTTGCACTTTGACCTGGCTATGGCTAAGCAGCATGGCCTGCCTGCTCACTCCAAACCATGTTCTGGTCCTGGACCTTATCCCTTCCTTTACAAGCAAGTGAGAAAGTCTTGGATCCAGGTAAAGAAACAGTAATGTATTTAAAAGAAATCTCATAATAGTGACTAAGCAGGGCTCACATTCCAAAGAACTAGTCACTATATAAATGCTGTATCAAGTTCACAGGAGGACTATCCTGCAAAAATTTGATAGGTTTAATTTTCAGCTTGCTGCTTAGCTATAAAGTTCTTTATTATTAAAAAAATTAAATATAATTTACATAATTATTTATTACATCATACAGATCTATTAGGGCTCTCTGAAAATCCAAACATTTACACTACTTCCACTTTCTGCTGGACTGAAGGGGAGGCATGTTTAAGCAATAGCTGAAATCTAGCCTGATTTCATCTTTCACAAGGCCTTTTTGATCTGTATTCATTGTACCTTTCCAGGTGGCCTTAGCATAAACATCTGAAGAACATTTCCTAATACTGATATTATAAATCTGCCAACACAGCTTTCAGCTTTGCCCCTAGTTTTCCACTGCATTTTCATTATTTTCCAAATCATCATTATATAGCTGGAAGTATTTTGTCACAGTTTTCTTCCAAAGCCTCATTTAATTTCTTTCCAGTTTTTCCTTACCTTCCCCTCTTCTGGCATCCAGCCTCGCTGCTTAAATACATTTACAGATATTTCCTCACACAGCCTAGTCCATAAAATCACATTGCTGCTCTAGCACACACAACAATTCTTTCTTCACTCTTTTACACACTGTGGTCTTCGTTGGCCATTTCACCTTTGCCTTTGCTGCCATGTGTCCAAAGCACCATTTCAAAAGCAGTCCCCTCTAGTCCAAA